ATATATATATATATATATATTAACCCTCCTTCCTCCCTGTACTGCCCACTTATAGCGACCTATTACCAATGCTGCTTCCCTATTCAGACAATGTTGGCCTGAATATTACGGCTGATCCTTCAGCTCTCTTTGGCCGATGGGGCCCTTCAGTTCATTCAAACTGAAGGGCTGCTGTACGGGCTATTCAAAATAACCCGTACAGCATCCAAAGGCAGCTGAGCCAAAGGCATATGCTTCGGCTTGACTGAGCCGGTGACAGCCGAAGCGGGGTGAACGGTAGACATTTGCGATTCGTTTCGTTCCGAATCGAAATTCGGACATTCAGATGTATCCAAATTCCGAATTACAGCTATAACGCATGCAAACGAATCCGAATTTCCGTTTCCGAAATTCGTTAGCGGTAGTTCTTTCGAAAGTTCGTTTCGTTTTCGTTTAATTCGTTGGAGCAAAGTGACATTAGAGAAGGAGAAAAAAAAATTCCCCCTCAAATGTCACTTTGCTGCAAACGAACGAACGAAACGAATAAGAGACGAAAACGAAACGAACTTTCGAAAGAACTACCGCTAACGAATTTCGTCCGAATCCGAATTCCAAATCCGACTTTCACACCCGAATCCCGAAAAACGAAATAATAAAAATCCGAATCCAAACGAAACTAAACTAAACAAATTTTTTGGCAGTGCACATGTCTAGTGAACTGCCTACCAAAGGTCGGCTGTTCACCCCGCAAATGACAGCTGGGCAGAGCCAGCTACGATCTCATGGCTGGCTCCGCCCAGTTATAATGACAGACCAGCGTCCCCAAATGACCTGGGGGGGGCGCTAATCTGTCATTAAACAATAACAATTGGGTGGAGCCGGCTGTGACGTCACGGCCAGTTGCTATTCATTGGCCGGGACCTGCTGGAAGACGGTTTCAAGTGGCGGTCAATAGAAAACAGTTGGGCAGAGCTAGCTTTCACTGTTAGCTCCGCCCAATTGTTTTCTTTTTTAAAATATATTTTTATTAATCTTCCTATTT